GTCTTATCATAAAACTGTTCTCTGTGTGAAATTGTGGATTTATGAAGGGATTTTCTATTGCTCGAAAAGGATAATTTACGTATTCTCGTAGTGTATAGGGTGTCCCAAATTCGAGGGTGACCATTGGGATATCAGAAACTATAGGAGATACGGGGTCGGTTAAATTATGGCAAAGTTACGCAATTTTATGACCAATAAAATGCTGTTTTAAAATTTGAAAAATTCCGAAATTTTACAAAATCATTTTTATTTTTTCCTGAGTCTATTTGAAGAGCAATTTTGAAATAAATGTCACTTTATCGTTGTCACTTTTTCTTCTTTACAAGATGTTGCTACCAAATTTCACCATCATCAACTTCATTTTTTTAAATACGGACCTGGATTTTTTATTTCGGATTTTAAGAGTTTCTAACATCCCAAAACCAATGAGACGTATTGCACTTTTTCGAAATTTTTTTATTATTGGCACTTCACATAAGAACTTAATGTGTTAGAGAGAGACAGAGAGGAGCATTTTGGTAGGAAATTACTAAAAAGTGAAAAATAATTTTTTTCGAATAAATGCGATATGTCATAGGTTTTGGGACATCAGAAGCTCTTGAAATTCGAAATAAAGAATCCAGGTCCGTATTTGAAAAAATGAAGTTGATGATGGTGGTCTAAAGGCGAAACGTCGAATCTGAAATTTGGTAGCAGCATCCTGTGAAGGGGAAAAAGTGACAATGATGAACTGACATTTTTTTTAAATTGCACTTCAAATAGACTCAGGAAAAATAAAAATGATTTTGCCAAATTTCGGTTTCTTCCGAATATCTTCGGAAAAATTCTGAATTTTCCGAATTTCAAAACGACATTTTATTGGTCATAAAATTGCGCAACTTTGCCATAATTTAACCGACCTCGTATCTCTTATAGTTTCTGATATCTCAATGGTCACCCTCGAATTTGGGACACCCTGTATGAATAAAAATACAAACAAACACACATTGCAGGGATAATACACACTACTAAAGGATTGCTAATCGCAAGGTTCCTAAAGTTAATAGGTTGCCTGATAATGGGTAACTTGATGACGTATCTGGGGTGTCTTATAGAGATTTGCATTATGTTGAGGCACCTCAGATGACGTCATAAAATTATCAGGCAACTTACTTCCAGGCATGGGATAAATTAACCGGTTATTCCAATAACCGGTTAACCTAACGTTTAAAAACCGGTTATTATTTCCATCAGGTTTAACCTAATAACCGTATTCACTTACCAATAACCGACATTCGGTTATTCGGTTGATATATTTTTTTAAAAAACTATCAACTTATCCGTCCCCAAGGATGATATGCACTTCTACTACAGGATAGCCTATCCTTATAAGGCCTTTGTGAAAGAAATCCCCCCTTCCCCCCACCCATGCCAAATCACCAGTTGTGACGTAGGGAGCACGTTATTTCTCGCCTTGGAGTAGGCTGTTTAAACAGCTGACGACTTAGTTATGACGTCGGAAATGGTAACACACCAATATGACGGCGATTACCAGAAACGAGGCCGATAAGCAATCCTGTAGGTGTGTATCATCCTTGATCTGTCCCCACATCATGGTTTCAAATAATTTAAATGCAAGAACTACCAAAAAATTTCCAATGGAATGCATTTTTCACTCGACCTTCATATTTATGATAAGAGATGGCGCGACCACGCGATAAAAAAACCAAAATCCAACGATGTGGAAACTTGAATTCTCCATGTTTATTTTTGCAAAATAGGTAGAGAGAGAAAAAAAAATAAAAAGTGCCCTCCTCGATAGACATAACTAGTGGTCTCTGTTTAATTGTGTAAAATAGAAAGAGATAGTAGAAGTAGTAAAGAGAGAGAACATTATTATTTACTGAAGGTTAACCGTATAAGGTTATTTTTCTTACAAAAATAAACCGGTTAACCGATAACCGGTTATTTTCAAATAACCGCCCATGAGTAGTTACTTCTCTCAAACAAGCTCGGCTTATCGGCCTCGTTTTTGATAATCGCCATATTAATTTGTCACCATTTCCGATGTCATTAACAATGTCGTCAGCTGTTTGCACTAGAGGTCGTAGTTTAGAATTTGAATTTATGCTGAAAAATATTATTTAATTTTGATTAATATAATAGGCAAAGAGGAAGATGACACGAGTTGTTTTAGAATGTTAATTAATGTAGTAAAACTAAGTATGCACAAAGCAAAAGCCCGCGGAATCATAACCTATCGTGCAAATAGCCTACGCCAAGGCGAACAAGGACATGCTGCCTACGTCACAACTGGTGATTTGGCATGGTGGGGGGCTTCGCATTTGTTCCACACAGGTCTTGAGGATAGGCTATCTTGTAGTAGTAATATGTATTATCCTTGGTTGGATGGTTTCATTTTGAAATGGCCGTCCAATTCGTACTTTGATGTTTTCGAAACGTGAAATTAGTAGTTATTTTTCGTATAAAACTACCAAAATGCAATGGAGCAATCCAACGACTTGTCAAAACACAAATTTAATATGGCGGCAACAGTCAAATAATATCTGTCATGTGTTTGTTTTTTGTGTTTATACACCACGAAACTACAAAAATTATCCTTCTCAAGCAATAGACCAGTTTTATGATAACAAAACGTCACGGTTGTCTGAAGGTAAATGAAATCCTTCATTTTTTGACCATGGCCGCCATTAGGAATTGGGTTGCCCGTTACCCAACTTTAAGATGGCCGCTCAAAAAGCCTACTTTGAAACGTGAAGTTATTTTCTATGAAAAATTATACGAAAACCACTTGTTTTGCACTAAAGATTTGGAAAATGCTAATCATACCTCTGACAGCAGAACCGATATACGTTTTTTATGTTATATTTAGGATGACGTCATCGAACAAGGACAAACAATATTGTCAATGCCTATTGTTTTTCTTATAATTTACCAGAAAGTCATGTGTCAATAATTCTGACGACATATAAGTCATGCAACGTTGCGCGCCGTTGCCAACTAAAAACATCTGAAATTCCCCTACTTTAAATGCGTTAAAAAGTGCTTTTAGTTTTGGTAGGTTGGCAGTTGAAATTTACTAAATGTGACGTCATCCTAAATATAGCGTAAAAATCCTATACGACTGCCATCGATGAGGAAAAACATGAAACCCAAAATGGATATGGATGTTTATTTGAATTATGTTTTAGTACGGAAAGTGCCAATTTTCCGCACGCGATTTCAGTTAGTAGGGAAAAGAGACTTTCCATACGAGTTAGGACAGGAAAGTTAGTATTATTATAAAAAATGCGGTACTGTATAGTGCGGAAAAGTAATACCTACTTTCATATGAACTAAAATGCATTCGAAAAGTTGGAATTTTGCGCACGATCGTAGAGAATAATAATAGGAAGTGACTCAAATTTAAAAATACAGATAATTTTTTTTTTATGAAGTTTCTATGACAGGGCCGGAATGGGAATTTTTTTCTTATATCGGCCTACCCAGTGGGATAATTATAATTTGCCCTTTCCTAATAGCGCCGTAGGCGAAAATTTTTAAAATTTTCAGGGTCACGCGTTCTGGCATCTTAAAATATACATATTCCTGAGATAAAATCGTGTTAAGCAATTTGGGGTGATTTATCAATTTTTCAATTTTTCTGAGTGCCTTTTTTCTTAGATTTCGGCTTCAAATCAGAATAATTTAGTGTATGGAGTTTGGGGGATGTTGATTGAACATTAGGATACAAAATCTCGACAAAAAAAGAATTTGAAATTTCATCGTTTTAGTAAGAAGGATTTTGGAAAACTATGAGAAGTCATAAATTTTTTTCTATTATAGATAGAAAGCTGAATTTTATCCCAATCAAGGAACCACAAGGAAATTCTTCATTATTAACGACAAAAAATGATCCAATCCTGAGTAAATTTTAGTATTGAAAATGTTGTTTAGAAGAAAGTGAATTCGTAAGAGAATGGTTATGTGAGCAAGATTGTTCCAATTGCTCAGGAGCTCAGATAATGAGATTCGGAAAAAGTTCAAATTATGATTATTATCGGCTCTTGATGGTCTTCAAGAGCTAATAATAGTTCAAACTCCAAAGTTTCCGAACTTTTCTGAAGGCAACCAAACGCCGAAAATACTCAAAAGTCAAAATTTTAATTAATACCGGCTCTTGATTAGTTTATTTTTCAGAAATATGTAAGTCTCGGTCTCGTTAGTCTAGCTTTGATCTCGGGGAAATTTTTAGGTCTCACTCTCACTCCAAAATGGTACAAAAAAAAGTGCAGAATGGTCCTCAGATTTTCTTATGAAGATTTACATGTAAAAATGACCGATTTTGCGCTAAAACTCGTATTGCACCTTTACTAATATACATTTTATTAAAATCTACTTAAGTATGACATTATGCGTTACATTTAAGCTAAATATTACCTTATTGGGACTAAAACCCTAATACGAATGAACCACAACTATTTTTCAATAAAGTAACTAAAGTTTAAGACAAAGGATTGAATGAATTGCAAAAACGACAACTTTACTCCACAGAAAGGCTATTGTTTCTCAAAACTTCCTTTGTTGTACAACTTAATCATTATTGCTGGGCAATTTCAAAATTATTTTTCCGCAAAAAAATGTCTCGTCCAGCTCACCACAAAAGCCGAAATACAAGTAAAGTGTCGTTTTGTCACCGCACAATTTACTCTCGTGCCTCCGAGTGAATTTAAACGGGTGTAATTCCGTCGTTCCGGGGGCGTTAAGATGCGGCTGAGTGCAAGACCGTGTTACGTATTGTCGAATTTATTGCCGCCCCTTTTACAACTTTCTTATTGTAGTTTAAAGGGGCTCCTTTACCCCAAGACCTCAAGTCTTTGTCTCTCAAGTTTTTGGGGTCGTCCCGGACGATTGTCTGTGTTTTTTACTACTTGTTCACTTTTGTTCGTTTTTTTTTTTTTTTGTTGTACCAACTATGTTTTTGGCCGAAGAGAATTTCAGTCTGATGATTTTTTTTTCAGTTGTCGCTGGTCAACAAGCATCTCTGGAAATCCAGCCCAGATCCAGACCGATTCGTAAAGAAGTAGGAGACAATTTGGTGCTGACTTGTAGGCCGAGCGTGCCAAAACCAGACCTGATTTCCAATTTGGAATGGCAAGACAAAAACGGTCGGCGAATCGAAAATGTTCACAGAAACAGTCCAGTTTATATCCAGGTAAGATTTTTGTTCTGGATTTTAAAATATGTTTGTATTACACTATAATCTAATAGTAGAGTGCTTCTTTTAATATATTTTGATTTTTGTGGGCGCGTCGGAGTTACAAGCTGAAATTTTCACAGAATGAAGATTTTATTATATTAATTCAAAATCCCAAGGTAATACAAAATCAGAACGCGCAAAAGGGCATTATAATTAAAATTTGAGATTATTGCATGAACGTATAGAATATTAATTTATGATACATTTCGTAATGGTAAATTAATTGAAAAAGCAAATCAAAATTCGTGGAAAACAACCCTGACATCAATTCCAAGTGGCCATTTTAAGCAGACACAAAAATAAAAATAAAATCCTATTTTTGGTTCTGGAAAATTTTCAAAATCCTGACATGGTCATGAACAATTGCCCATATCTTTGGTAAATTTTAAGCAAATTGAAATAAATTATACATCATTGGAAAGAGCCTTAAATTCTCTATAAATCTGTGTAAAATTGAGCTCGATAGCTCGGATAGTTTTTGAGCAATCGAGCCTCAAAGTTGACTTTTAGTCCAAATTTTGTCAAAAACTTCAAACTCAATTTGCTCAAAAACTAGAAATTTGGAAATATTGTAAATTACAGGCCATTTAGAACCTGATAAAAGCTACAAATTCTGGAAATTTTAATGCAACTTGCTCAACGGTTACCGAGCAATTGAGGTTTGAATATTTTGAAATCAGAATTCAAAGGTACCACCTTTGAAATGGCCCAATGGATGGAAATTGCTTTTCATATAATTTATCCATGGTGTCTACATAAGAATATGGATATACTCCTTTCTTTCTAATTTCATTAAACTGGTTTGGATCTTGGAAATATCTTTTAATTTCTACACACTGACTGGGATCCAAGCTTTCACTAAGACTATACAATGAAGAGGCAACAAAATGAAAAAAGTCTAAAAATCTAAGCTTGATAAAAATATGTTTAATTTTTTTATCCGGTTGTTCAATTTTATTTACCAATATCGACTCTGAGAATGAAATATATTTTTCTTTAGTTTGTGCAAGAATATCAATCCTATCATTTTCATAACAGAGTTGTTTGATAAATAAATGGCTGTCATAGCCTGTTAGGTTGCGAAAGAACACTGGAATGTGACCCGGAAGTTGAAAATCCTGATTACAGATACTGTGAGCTCCACCCCTAAATCTACCAGTTAAATGATTATGATCCCTTACTTTTGCATCTTCAGGATTAATTTTTCTGCTACAAATACTGCAAATGTCACAGTTTTCAAATTCAGACTTTTCTTTGTTAGAGGAAACATTGGAATTACATATTTCAAAGGGTCCGTTACACTGCCCCCCCCCCCCCCCCCCGGTTTCCCAATAGGCTCAATATTTTAGCACCCTATTGCACCCACCTAGCACCCAACTTACAGAGCTAGCACCACACCCCCTAGCGAGTTATAGAACATTTTCACCGGTGGGAGGCTAATGTAACGCGAACCCCCCCCCCCACCGGTTTTATTGAAATAAATTATACATCATTGGAAAGAGCCTCAAATTCTCTATAAATCTGTGCAAAATTGAGCTCGATAGCTCCGATAGTTTTTGAGCAATTGAGTCTCGAAGTTGATTTTTGTCAAAAACTTCAAACTCAATTTGCTCAAAAACTAAAAATCTCGAAATATGGTAAATTACAGGCCATTTAGAACTTGATAAAAGCTAAAAATTCTGGAAATTTTAATGCAATTTGCTCAACGGTTACTGCAATTGAGGTTTGAATATTTTGAAATCAGAATTCAAAGGGGGTAACCCCGATGCGCCCACAAAACTCATTTTAAGAAGGCTGTATTGAGTACTATACTATAGACAAAAAGAGAAATTAATTTGAGGTATAAACATGAAACAAACAACATTTCAGAATTTACCAGGAGAAAAAGGTATAATGTTGGTTTTTACCGGTTTAACTGAACAACAAGCTGGCATTTACAATTGTCACGCCAGCTACGCAAACACTGAACAATTGTCAGCGTCGGTGGAAGTCAGCACATTCGGTAAGAATTTTTAATTTTATTGTCGTCCAAACATTAATTTGCTTTTTCAGTGGACGTCCAATTTGTTGATGCCCCCGAAAACCAATTTCCAGTAGTCGGTACCAATTACAAAGTAAAATGTAAAGTAAAAGGGGAACCTTATCCAATAATCGATTGGTACAAAGGCGATACTTTACTGGAAGAAAACAGTAAAAAATACATAAGGCAAATCGATGGACTTCAAATTAGTAACGTCACCGAAGCAGACGATGGTACTTATAAATGTTCAGCTGTGGTACCATCAACTGGAGTCTATAAAACCAGAAACATCAAAGTAAGACTTCTACAAAATAAATATTTTTGCGATTGACAATGATTATTTTAAGGTGGAAGTTCAAGTTCCTCCTTTTATATTACCGATGAAAGAAATTCAAGTCGTCGAAGGCGATTCGGCTTCTGCCAAATGTACGGCAACTGGAAAACCGCCGCCGACTTATCAATGGATCAAGCTGGATCGGCGAAATGATTTATCGAAAACCGACCGGTTCGATGTGAAAAAGTTAACAGGTGAGACCTTTGAAATTTCGACTTGAGAGGGATGGACTTTTTGGGATTAGTGTTGGATTTTTGACGTTTTGGTGTAGTTCAAATTGATCAAATTATAGTAAATTAACGTGAATTTTCACTGATTTTTCAATGTTATAAAGGGTATCTATTTATTTTCTAGTGTTAGTAGAGTTAGTAGCAGATGGTGTTTTTAGACCTAAGTTTAGAGACCAGGTTGGAAAAAAACTCATATTTTCAATTCTGAGCTTGAGATTGACTTCAAATTTACTTTGTGCGATGAAAACATCCTGGTTAAGAAATCCTGAAAGTTTGAAATCGATCTGATACTCCGAAATATTTTTCAGGATTTTTCAAATGCGATTTAACGTAAATTTTCCAACTTTTTCTGGTATTAAATTGGAAAAAACCTCATAATTTTATTTCTGAGCTTCAGATTGACTGTAAATTTACCTTGTTTGATAAAAAGATCCTGGTTAATAAATCCTGAAAGTTTAAAACCGATCTAATACTCCGAAGTATTTTTCAGGATTTTTCAAAGGTGATTTAACATGAATTTTCCAACTTTTTCTGATATCAAGTTGGAAAAAACCTCATACTTTTATTTCTGAGCCTTAAATCAACTTCAAATTTGCCTTGTTTGATGAAAAGATCCTGGTTGATGAATCCTGAAAGTTTGAAATCGATTTGATACTCCGAAGTATTTTTCAGGATTTTTCAAAGGTTATTTAACGTGAATTTTCCAACTTTTTCTGGTATTAAGTTGGAAAAAACCTCATAATTTTATTTCTGAGCTTCAGATTGACTGTAAATTTGCCTTATTGGATGAAAACATCCTGGTTAATAAATTCTGAAAGTTTGAAATTAATCTGATACTCCGAAGTATTTTTCAGGATTTTTCAAAGGTGATTTAACGTGAATTTTCCAATTTGTTCTGGTATCGAGTTGGAAAAAACCTCATACTTTTATTTCTGAGCTTCAGATTGACTGTAAATTTGCCTTGTTTGATGAAAACATCCTGAAAGTTTGAAATTGATCTAATGCTCTGAAGTATTTTTCAGGATTTTTCAAATGTGATTTAACGTGAATCTTCCAACTTTTTCTGGTATCAAGTTGGAAAAAACCTCATACTTTTATTTCTGAGCCTTAAATCAACTTCAAATTTGCCTTGTTTGATGAAAAGATCCTGGTTGATGAATCCTGAAAGTTTGAAATCGATTTGATACTCCGAAGTATTTTTCAGGATTTTTCAAAGGTTATTTAACGTGAATTTTCCAACTTTTTCTGGTATTAAGTTGGAAAAAACCTCATAATTTTATTTCTGAGCTTCAGATTGACTGTAAATTTGCCTTATTGGATGAAAACATCCTGGTTAATAAATCCTGAAAGTTTGAAATTAATCTGATACTCCGAAGTATTTTTCAGGATTTTTCAAAGGTGATTTAACGTGAATTTTCCAATTTGTTCTGGTATCAAGTTGGAAAAGACCTCATTATTTTATTTCTGAGCTTCAAATTGACTTGATTATTTGATAATATTTGATAAAAACATCCTGGTTAATAAATCCTGAAAGTTTGAAATTGATCTGATGCTCTGAAGTATTTTTCAGGATTTTTCAAATGTGATTTAACGTGAATTTTCCAACTTTTTCTGGTATTAAGTTGGAAAAAACCTCATAATTTTATTTCTGAGCTTCAGATTGACTGTAAATTTGCCTTGTTTGATGAAAACATCCTGGTTAATAAATCCTGAAAATGATCTGATACTCCGAAGTATTTTCAAGATTTTTCAAATGTGATTTAACGTGAATTTTCCAATTTTTTCTGGTATCAAGTTGGAAAAAACCTCATAATTTTATTTCTAAGCTTCAGATTGACTGTAAATTTGCCTTGGTTGATGAAAACATCGTGGTTAATAAATCCTGAAAGTTTGAAATTGATCTGATACTCCGAAGTATTTTTCAGGATTTTCAAAAGTGAATTAACGTGAAATTTCCAACTTTTTCTGGTATTAAGTTGGAAAAAACCTCATACTTTTATTTCTGAGCTTCAGATTGACTGTAAATTAGCCTTGTCTGATGAAAACATCCGGGTTAATGAATCCTGAAAGTCTGAAATCGATCTGATACTCTGAAGTATTTTTCAGGATTTTTCAAAGGTGATTTAACGTGATTTTTCCAACTTTTTCTGGTATCAAGTTGGAAAAAACCTCATAATTTTAATGCTGAGCCTCAAATTAACTTCAAATTTGCCTTGTTTGATCAAAAGATCCTGGTTAATGAATCCTGGAAGTTTCAAATCGATCTAATACTCCGAAGTATTTTTCAGGATTTTTCAAAGGTGACCTAAAGTGAATTACCAACTTTTACTAGTATTTAGTTGTAAAAAACCTCATAATTTTATTTCTGAGCCCCAAACTGACTTCAAATTTGTCTTGTTTGATGAAAACATACTGATTGATAAATCCTGAAAACTTGAAATCGATATGATACTCCGTAGTATTTTTCAGGATTTTTCAAAGTTGATTTAACGTCATTTTTCCTTTTTTTTCTGGTATCAAGGTTGGAAAAAAACCTCATAATTTTATTTCTGAGCTTCAGATTAACTATAAATTGACCTTGTTTGATGAAAACATCCTGGTTAATAAATCCTGAAAGTTTAAAATTGATCTGATACTCCGTAGTATTTTTCAGGATTTTTCAAAGGTGATTTAACGTGAATTTTCCATTTTTTTCTTGTATCAAGTTGGAAAAAACCTCATAATTTTATTTCTGAGCTTCAGATTGACTGTAAATTTGCCTTGTTTGATGAAAACATCCTGGTTAATAAATCCTGAAAGTTTGAAATTGATCTGATACTCCGAAGTATTTTTCAGGATTTTTCAAAGGTGATTTAACATGAATTTTCCAACTTTTTCTGGTATTAAATTGGAAAAAACCTCATAAGTTTATTTCTGGGCTTCAGATTGACTATAAATTTGCCTTGTTTGATGAAAACATCCTGGTTAATAAATCCTGAAAGTTTGAAATTGATCTGATACTCCGAAGTATTTTTCAGGATTTTCAAAGGTGAATTAACGTGAATTTTCCAACTTTTTCTGGTATCAAGTTGGAAAAAACCTCATAATTTTATTTCTAAGCCTCAAACTTACTTCAAATTTGCCTTGTTTGATGAAAACATCCTGGTTAATAAATCCTGAAAGTTTGAAATCGATCTGATATTCCGAAGTATTTTTCAGGATTTCGCAAACGTGATTTAACCTGAATTTCCCAACTTTTTCTGGTATCTTTTCATCCAAATTTTATACGATTTTTAAAACTTTGAGACGCACAAAATACCCTTAAATAATGAAAAATCCTCATTATTTTTTCCAGGCGAATTAATAATGAACAGGGTGGAATACGGCGACGACGGCATGTACAAGTGCGTGGCCGAAAACACGGCCGGACACGTCGAAACGGAAGTTCGGATTAACGTTTTGGTGAAACCGCAAATTTACGAATTGTTGAACGCCACTTCGCCGGTAGCCAACGAAACGAGGCTTTTGTGCAAAACCAAAGGCAGACCTCCACCTAAAGTGACTTTCAGAAAACTCAGCAATCGACAGGCTTATATTGAAGGACCGCAACTTGACGATAACAGAATTCGGTTGGAGCAAGAAACTTTCGATGATGCAGGTAATAACTTGAGTTTGAGTAAGATTATTATTACTTTTAACAAAATGTTTTAGGTGAAACTTTTGGAACTTTAACAATTTCAAACCTAAACCGAAGCGATGACGGTCTTTATGAATGTATAGCTGAAAACTCAGTAGGAAAAGCCTATAAAAATGGTCACATTACGGTTTGGTTCAAGCCTACTTTTAATCGCACCCGTGATTTACCCCCAGTTTATAGTTGGGACGGTAGACCGGGAAATTTGTCTTGTTTACCGGAAGCCATCCCAAACGCTACCATCGTTTGGAGGTGGAACGAAATCGAAATCGGAGAGGAGAATTTCAGAAATGGCAGAGTCTCCCGTAACAATTTCGAAGTTATCGGCCGCAGTCCGCAATCGTTTTTGATTGTTAAACCTTATAATCAACCAAGGTAGGAATTTTTTGTATAAAAATGTGACTAATGTGAACTTGACACTTAAAAGTTAGCAGTCAAACTCCCGAAGATTGCTGATTCATCAGTGACGTCGGAAAATATGAAAATTGTTTAGTGGACTGTATGATTTAAGAGAAAATGGAAAAAAAAAATTTAAACCTGGTACGCACAGATCACTTACCTTTGAAAAGGTTTTCGTTGGTTTTCTGGGTACTGGTCCAAACTGAAGCGTGTTGACTGTAGCAGAGTACTCTGTAGCTTCTTAGGGCAGTAAAATAGGGGCAGTTTCGTTGTAATGACCGAACCGTCCGATACGACACGAATTTGTACGGGTCGCGTAGCGAGAGTGTGTTGTCTACTCTGCGGCCGAGAATATATATTTTTAAAATCACGGACAAAACAGTATAAAAATGCAGCTGCTTCCAGCAAGTGACGTGTGCGCATATGATAAACGAAAAAAGTCGCTAATGAAAAATAAGGCACAATCGAACTTTGTAGATTGCTCTACACAAACTAAAATAGGCAAAAAGCCCTTCTGAGAGTTTCCTAAACAGTGAATATTGAACAAGTTTTGGCAAAATTCGGTCCACCATGCATAAATGGTACTGAAAGGCATAGGCAGTACCAATATACACCGTTTAGGGTCTGGGGTAAAAAGAGTTTCCATGAAAATATGAACATTTTCACCCTAGTCTGGGACACAAATGGTACTGGAAGTTATAGGCAGTACCAATACATACCGTTTAGGGTACCTAAAAAGACTTGCAAATAACTTTGGGGGTGAATTCGGTTTTTTATAGATATCTTCGGAATCATTCGGAATTTCCGAAAAGTAAAAACATGTTGCCAGTGAGCTCAGTAATGCGCAACTTTTTCCAAATTTAACCAACCCTGTATCTCTTATGGTGATTGAGATTCCTGTAGAGTGCATCCATAGGACACCCTGTATTGATCGATTTGGTTCCCGGTGGGACACCCTGTATATAGGCTCTGGATTTTTTTTTCAAATTTTTCTTGACTTGTAAGAGCCATTAGTTTATTGACCTCTAACCAAGGATAGACATCACAACCTTTCCCTAATCGAAATCATAAAATGTACCCTGGTATTTACATAAAATACTGTGCCATTGCCATATCTCCAGAAAATAATAATATCGGGACGTAAATTAAAATCATGATCACAGTTCGTATGATTTTCTGGACGAGTATGAATATTTAACTTGGGAAAATCAGTGCGAAAACACTAACCATCCTCGAAGAAGCCACTTTACAAATCAAACCGGCAACGCTGTTCGAGTATCGTACAGAATTTTTCATTAATTTTCGTAAAGAACATTAGCGAGGTTGCCGAGGCGATAATTGTTGTTTCTAGCTTGCTTATGGAGTGTATGGCAAGGTTGCTCGAAAGCGATGTTGCCAAAATAACATAAATATTTTTTTCCAAGAACTTGTTCCTGATTGGCGGAGTAATTTTATGAATGACTTGTGGTGTTTATCCTAGGTTAGAGGTCAATGGATTATTTATATTGCAAATTCATTATCGGTTTAGCAACACTGTTTTTATATTCGCCTGGAAATAAGGTCTGGCAACATGGCAATAATGGAAATGAAATGAATCCCACTTTTAGTCAAAATAAGAGGAAAAACAGTAATTTGACAGCGTGGCTTTCTAAATATTTTATCAGGAAATGTTAAATATGTTTTTTTTTGAAGCGCTGTTGGCCGATTTTATAAATTTTCTGGTTTTTTCTTTCAGACTGAATCTTCTGTAGATTTTTCATTGAAAATTCAAAAGCCTGGAATAAACAAAAGTTTAAAGGAAAATTCTTGTTTCTTCCTTGAACAGTTTAGAAAATTCAATGGCCTTTCATTCAAGCCCAAGATCGGATTGAAATTAACAATGTTAAGAGACAAAATGTGTGTCAAAGTAATTTTGGAATTAGTGCTACTGCAACTTGATATGTCAAATATCATGCTACCGATACTTTAAAGTTGGTAACACTGAAACTCAATACGTTACTTATCCTAGAAGGCCATGAAAAAATTAAATAAATTTCTTGCAGTTGACAACACTGAACACTTGACAGGGTTAATATTTTGGTACATACTAAAATTTTACAGTTGGTACCACTGAAACTCAATAAATTACATATCTTAGTAGGCCATGTAAATAATTTTATTTCTGTTGGCGACACTGAAGTTTGAAGTGCCTTGGTATTAAAATTTTACAGTTGGCAATACTGAAAATTTCTTGCAGTTAGCGATTCTAAAATTTGACGTTTCAAATATTTTGGTACTAAAATTTTACTTTACTTTCCCTCTCATAACCTCAAATCCTTAGGGTTTGATTGTATAAATTGAAAATTTTGCTTTGCAAGTGTCACATTCAAAAAGGTAAATATCCGAATGTGTTATTAAATGACTTTCCAGATTGCCTTTTCGTTTAAATTTTGCATTGCAAGTGTCACATTCAAAAGGATGAATATCCGAGTATGTTAATCTGTGAGTCTTCAAATCGCCTTTTCGTTTAAATTTTGCTTTGCAAGTGTCACATTCAAAAAGGTGAATATCCGAATATGGTATAATATGACTTCCTAGATTGCCTTTTCGTTTAAATTTTGCATTGCAAGTGTCACATTCCAAAGGATGAATATCTGAGTGTGTTAATCTGTGAGCTTCTAAATCGCATTTTCTTTCAAATTTCAACTTAGTTTTTAGTTGAAAACGATCCATTTTAACAAAAGTGTGGTATTCATGTTCCTCAAATAATGATACTTCCATAATTCGCCATTAGAGTTGAGATGAAAAGAGATAGATTTTTTTGCATTTGACGACTCTGAAGTTTAATACAAATATTCTGGTACTAAAATTTTACAGTTGGCAACACCGAAACTCAATAAATTACATATCTAGTAGGCCATGTAAGAGAAATAACTTAAGTTTCTGTTGGCACCACTGAAGATTGACGTACCAAATATTTTGGTACTAAAATTTAACAGTTGGCAACACTGAAATCAATAAGTTACCTCTAGTAGGCTATGTAAAATCCCACATTCCAAGAAGAGTTCGCCATATTGGATTTGCGACAACATGGCGAGAGAGCGTAATTAACTCTCCATTGTCGCCACTGTTATAAGAGGTTTATAGAGTCACTGTAGTCGGGGTTAAAAATGGTACTGGAACTTATAGGCAGTACCAATATACACCGTTTAGGGAACCTCAAAAAAGGGTTTATGTGAAAATATGAACATTTCCACCCTAGTCTCGGGCACAAACAGTACTGGAAATTATAGGCAGTACCAAAATTCATCGTTTGGGGAACCTCACTTAACTTGCAAATTATTTTGGGGGTGGTTTAAGGGGGTAAAACTAATAATTTCGATTCATCGAAAAAAAGGGTTTTTGTGAAAATCTGGATATTTCCACTGTAGTTTCGGGCACAAATTTTACTGGAAATTATAGGCAGTACATTAATATACGGTTTGATGACTCACATTTTAATACACTCGGATATTTTTCTTTTTGAATGTAACACTTGCAAAGCGAAATTTAAGTGAAAAGAGAATCTGGAAAGTCACATAACACACCCTTTTGAATGTAACATTTGCAAAGCGAAATTTGAAAGAAAATGCGATTTAGAAGCTCACAGATTAACACACTCGGATATTCATCCTTTTGAATATGACACTTGCAATGCAAAATTTAAACGCAAAGGCAATCTAGAAAGTCATATAATACCATATTCTGATATTCACCTTTTTGAATGTGACACTTGCAAAGCAAAATTTAAACGAAAAGGCGATTTGAAGACTCACAGATTAACACACTCGGATATTCATCCTTTTGAATGTGACACTTGCAATGCAAAATTTAAACGAAAAGGCAATCTGGAAAGTCCCATAATAACACTTTCGAATATTCACCCTTTTGAATGTGACACTTGCAAAGCAAAATTTAAACGAAAAGGCGATTTGAAAACTCACAGATTAACACACTCGGATGTTCATTCTTTTGAATGTGACACTTGCAATGCAAAATTTAAACGAAAAGGCAATCTGGAAAGTCATTTAATAACACATTCGGATATTCACCCTTTTGAATGTGACACTTGCAAAGCAAAATTTAAACGAAAAGGCGATTCGGAAGCTCACAGATTAACACATTCGGATATTCATCCTTTTGAATGTGACACTTGCAATGCAAAATTTAAACGAAAAGGCAATCTGGAAAGTCATAATAACACTTTCGAATATTCACCCTTTTGAATGTGACACTTGCAAAGCAAAATTCAAACGAAAAGGCGATTTGAAAACTCAGAGATTAACACACTCGGATGTTCATTCTTTTGAATGTGACACTTGCAATGTAAAATTTAAACGAAAAGCCAATCTAGAAAGTCATATAATAACACATTCGGATAATCATCCTTTTGAATGTGCACTTGCAAAGCGAAGTTTAAACGAAAAGGCGATTTGAAGACTCACAGATTAACACATTCGGATATTCATCCTTTTGAATGTGACAATTGCAATGCAAAATTTAAACGAAAAGGCAATCTGGAAAGTCATAATAACACTTTCGAATATTCACCCTTTTGAATGTGACACTTGCAAAGCAAAATTTAAACGAAAAGGCGATTTGAAGACTCACAGATTAGCACACTCGGATGTTCATTCTTTTGAATGTGACACTTGCAATGCAAAATTTAAATGAAAAGGCGTTTTGAAGATTCACAAATTAACACACTGGGAATTCATCCTTAAGAATGTGACACTTGCTATGCAAAATTTAAACGAAAAGCCAATCTAGAAAGTCATATAATAACACACTCGGATGTTCATTCTTTTGAATGTGAAACTTGCAATGAAAAATTTAAATGAAAAGGCGATTTGAAGACTCACAAACTAACACACTCGGATATTCATCCTTTTGAATGTGACACTTGCAATGCAGAATTTAAACGAAAAGGCAATCTAGAAAGTCATATAATCACACATTCGGATATTCACCCTTTTGAATGTGACATTTGCAAAGCAAAATTTAAACGAAAAGCGATTTGAAGACTCACAGATTAACACACTCGGATGTTCATTCTTTTGAATGTGAAACTTGTAATGCAAAATTTAAACAAAACGGCGATTTGAAGACTCACAAATTAACACACTCGGATATTCATCCTTTTGAATGTGACACTTGCAAAGCGAAATTTAAACGAAAAGGTAATCTGGAAAGACACATAAGGCGATTTTGCCCCTGATTTTCATCTACTGTTTGGTAGGCGAATGGTTAACCAATTGGTACCTGAGTGACGTAGCTCAACAATCTCATCCGAATTCAGTGGGTAGGGCGGTTGGTACATTTTGATTTTGACATGTTTACTTAGACAAAGGGCAGAAAGAGACAGGAAGCTACCAAATCTCCACTACCCCGTTAAAAACCGCAGTCAACCATGGTATAGCATTTGACAGACCAAAGCGCCTGTTGTTGTTGTGATGGCATCATTCTCCCATCCGAAATTGATTGGTACCTGTTTGACAGCCCAAACTGGGGTACCAAACTGAGACAAAATCGCCTATAATAACACATTCGGATATTCACCCTTTTGAATGTAACACTTGCAAAGCAAAATTTAAATGAAAAGGCGTTTTGAAGACTCGGATTAACACACTCGGATATCCATCCTTTTGAATGTAACACTTGCAAAGCGAAATTTAAACGAAAAGGCAATCTAAAGATAATAATATAATCACATTCGGAAGGAAAGACTTTCAAATGCAAAATAGAACGCTGAATTTAGAACCAGGGGTAATTGTGTGGTACCTATTTGGAAAAGTGTAAATTTCAATGTATGTAGATTTTCTAGGATACTATTTAAAATATATAATCCAAGAGCCCAGAGCCGCCAGACACAACTTATTTTCTAAAGGACAGAATATGTCGAATTTAGTAGCACTTATATGGACTATGGACGTATGTATATCCGCTGAGTTGGGTAGATAGCTAATTTACCGACACCAGGTGCATACCATTAGTACAAACCAATATAAAATTCTAAAGAAAAGGCGAATTGAAGAGTCACAAACTAACACATTCGGATGTTTATCTTTTTGAATGTGACACTTGTGAAGCGAAAAGGCGTTTTGAAGATTCACATATTAACACACTAGGATATTCATCCTTTTAAATGTGACACTGTTAAGCAAAATTTAAACGAATAGACCATTTGAAGAGTCACTAAAAAGACTTTAAAATAACTTTGAGGGTGGTTTAAGGGGGTAAAACTAATAATTGCGATTCATCGAAAAAAGGGTTTTTGTGAAAATCTGGACATTCCCATCCCTAGTCTCGTGTACAAATGGTACTGAAAATTAAACTGAAGCCACTTTAGCTGTCAAGTTCACATCAGTAAAAATGTGAGTGAGTTGAGTAAAATCACATTCAATTTGAGTCATTAAGAGGTATAACCAAATATATCATGTCGTAGAGGATACTTTAAGGCAGAAAGGTTGATTTCACCATTTATCCAAAGGAGGGTTGAAGCAACAGTTTGGGAATTTTTGGTTATTTAAAAATGTTCAAATTTGCAGCTCAATTGCTCAGAAAGTATTGGAGCTACCAAATTCAGTTAGCACGGATTTATAGAGAATTTAATGCTTTAGCTAATAGTGTATAATTTATTTTGATTTGTTCAAATTTTAATGGAAATATTGGCAATTTTTCTAAACCTTATCATGATAATCAAAAGATTTATTTTATGGAATAATTTAGTGAACATAAGGAAAAATTGTAAGTACATGTAAGAAGCCATTGTTACAAGGGTCATTTCCAAAGTATTATCTTACTAAAAAAAAAGTTGTACAGTTCTATTTTCATATGCCTCAAAGCAAAGTTTCCTCTACAAGATGTTATAGATCTCATTTGGTTATACCAGAAATTTCCCAAATCAGCAAAAAAATTCTAACAAACATTATCATTTTCATCATCTAGTTATTACACACACTACGAATGCATAGCGAGCAACGGGCTGGGCCAAGCATCGATCAAAATCCAATTAAGACAGGGTCTGGCTCCAGGGATGATCGGTCAAGTCCGTGCCAACACAGTAACGGCTACGACAATCAAGTTTTCGCTTGTTCCGCCGAGCAACTACGACAACTTACCGATCAGGACGTACACGGTCCAGTACAAGCCTGAGCGGCAACCCTCTTGGGATAATTCCGTGTCGCATACTTGGAGTAATGGTAAGGATTTTACACTGATTGAATTTTTCTTTTATATTTTTCTGTTTTGTATCTTAAGTATGTATATATTCCGGAAAAAAAGGACTTATCTCTAATATTCTCATCAGCAGAAAACCCAGACACATCCATTAAAAATTATCTGGAAACTCAAATTGATTTTCCTTTTTTCGAGTCCTCAATTTTCCTTTACCAAAAGCAAACATCCGAAAAGATTAATGCATACAGCCGAATACTTAATCTATCTGTAACTGTTCGAAAAACTGCTGCTGCTCAAATTAGCAAGCAATTTCGTTCCAAGGGATTCGAAACTGATTTATCTTGTGTGTATGTGTCTGGACCACAAATGAAGGCAAAAAATTCAATATTCAAAAATAAAAGAAGTAATTTCCAATGAACACATCCATTGTCCATTGTTATCGAAAATACATTTTCAGAAACAGAAACTTTTCACTATTGTTCAGCTATTGATTGTTTTTTTCAAGGTGCACCTTACATTGTGGAAAACCTAATACCGGAAGTGACCTATCACTTCCGTTTCGTGGCCAGAAACGATGTAGGGATCGGAACCTGGACTAATGGGCCTACTATAACTATGCCTCGTCGTTCGGTGCCTGCGGAGCCTAGAATTTTGTTGCCTTCCTCTATTAATTTGACTGACAAACAAGAATTGCCTGGACCTTATTCGGATCATTTCGAGATTCGTTGGAACGTACCAGCTGATAATGGAGAACCAATCGAGTTTTATCTGATAAGATATTGTAAGGTAAGAATTGTCTTTTTTTTTTAAGGCAAATTGAGCTTCCATTGCCTTTTCATTTGGGGAAATTGTTCATTGTGGAACATCATCAAATAATACTTATTGTCTACTGTATTTTAGTAATTTCCACTGATGAAAATTCATCTTTATGAGAGCACAATCTAAACATAGAAATTATTATTTATGTATTATTGCATTCTCCTGGATGAAAACATTCTATATATTCATCATTATAATATTTTACATAGGAAATTAAACTAAATAATCAAAAATAGCATATTAAACACGTACTATTACACAATACATTTACATATAAATTATTAATATAACTAATTTTGCGAAATTCAATTAAAACTACTATTGTCGGTGCAATGTAAATGATGTGTATTTTGTTGTTATTAAATTGCATATGTAAAATATTTTACTGTTCGCGGATAAACTTTATGTACGCGGTGAAATTGCGGGGAAACAAATTGGGTATCGTAAAAAGTTGAATTGTAACCCGTCCGTAAAATGTGAAAACAACGAGAGGATAAATTAAACGTTATATAAAATGAAATAAATTTTATATACATACAATGGAATTTGGATTTTAGTGAACATCGTTTTACATATAGTACAGTAAGTAATTCTATTATTACCCTCAAATGTGCGTTATGATGCCTAGTACGACAAGCAAGTTAGCCTTGAATCACTGAAATCTGTCTTTGGGATTTGAAGTTCAAATCCTACTTTATGAAATATACTGTATCAGCATTTTTTGTAAAGGGTGGTTATTGTTCAAAAAACCATTTTGACCCAAAATAAAAGTGAATAGAGATTATTTAAATTTAAATATATTTTCTTAGATTTAGTTTGTTATTGTTGAACCACCCGGTATGGTATAAGTGAGAGTCGTAGAAAAAGTATAGTACGTAGTGTCTGTGTTGCACTCATGTAAGCAAGTAAGTTTCAAAATTTTCCTTTCACTTGTTTTTCTATACTCGTACCTCCCTCTTTTTACTTTAAAAGTTTTAAAATTTTCCCCCAACTTGTTTTTCCAAAAAATATCAGGATGTGACATAGTGTACGTGTTTTCATTATTTCACTTATTGGAAGTTGATTTTTCTAGAATCTCGTTGTTTTTCACTGGATCAATTTGAAATTTTAGTATAATGAACTCCTAACCTTCCTCTTCTCATCTCAAAAGTTTCAGAATTTTCATTATTTTAGTTATTAGAAGTTTATTTTTCTAGAACTTCTTATGTCTTTGTTTTCCACTGGATCAATTTTCCTTCTTCCTCTTCTCATCTCAAAAGTTTCAAAAAATTTCTTTGGATCGATTTCAAATTTCAATATGTTGAGATTCTGACGTTTATCTTCTCATCAAAAAAGTTTAAAGAATGTTTCCTCACTTGTTTCTCGAAACCTCATCAAAATGTGAGATGGTGAATTTTCAATTATTTAGATTTTGGAAGATGATTTTTCTGGAATTTTTCATGTTGCCATTTTCCTCTGGATCGATTTCAAATTTCTATATTATTAGATTCTGACCTTCCTCTTCTCATCAAAAAAGTTTTAAAAATGTTCCATCACAAGTTTCTCGAAAACTCAACAAAATGTGGGATGGTGTATTTTCAATAATTTAAATTTTGGAAGCTGATTTTTCTGGTATTTTTCATGTTGCAATTTTTCTTCGGATCGATTTGGAATTTCTATATGGTGAGATTCTGACCTTTATCTACTCATCAAAAAAGTTTAAAGAATGTTTCCTCACTAGTTTCTCGAAACCTCGACAAAATGTGAGATGGTGCATTTTCAATGATTTAGATTTTGGAAGCTAATTTTTCTAGAAATTCTCATGTTGCCATTTTGCATTGCAATGATTTGAAATTTCAATATGATTAGATACTGACCTTCCTCTTCTCATCAAAAAAGTTCTAAAAATGTTCCCTCACTAGTTTCTCCATAACTCATCAAAATGTGAGATGGCGTATTTTCAATAGTTTAGATTTTGGAAGCTAATTTTCTGAAGTTTCTCATGTTGCCATTTTTTTTTTGGATCAAATCCGAATTTCTGTATGATGAGATTCTGACCTTTCTCTTCTCACCGAAAAAGTTTTGAAAATGTTCCCTCACTAGTTTCTCGAAAACTCATCAAAATGTGAGATGGTGCATTTGCAATAATTTAAATTTTGGAAACTAATTTTTCTGGAATTTCTCATGTTACCATTTTTCTCTGGATTGATTTGAAATTTCTCTATGGTGAGATACTGGCCTTCCCCTTCTCATCAAAAAAGTTTTAAAAATGTTCCCTCAATAGTTTCTCCAAAACTCATCAAAATATGAGATGACGTATTTTCAATAGTTTAGATTTTGGAAGCTGATTTTCTGAAGTTTCTCATGTTGCCATTTTTCTTTGGATCAAATCCAAATTTCTGTATGATGAGATTCTGATCTTTCTCTTCTCATCGAAAAAGTTTTGAAAATGTTCCCGCACTAGTTTTTCAAAAACTCATCAAAATATGAGATGGTGCAATTGCAATAATTTAAATTTTGGAAACTGATTTTTCTGGAATTTCTCATGTTGCCATTTTCCTTTGGATTGATTTGAAATTTCTCTATGGTGAGATACTGGCCTTCCTCTTTTCATCAAAAAAGTTTTAAAAATGTTCCCTCACTAGTTTCTCGAAAACTCATCAAAATGTGAGATGGTGCATTTGCACTAATTTAAATTTTGGAAACTGATTTTTCTGGAATTTCTCATGTTGCCATTTTCCTTTGGATTGATTTGAAATTTCTCTATGGTGAAATACTGGCCTTCCTCTTCTCATCAAAAAAGTTTTAAAAATGTTCCCTCCATAGTTTCTCCAAAACTCATCAAAATATGAGATGACGTATTTTCAATAGTTTAGATTTTGGAAGCTGATTTTCTGAAGTTTCTCATGTTGCCATTTTTCTTTGGATCAAATCCAAATTTCTGTATGATGAGATTCTGATCTTTCTCTTCTCATCGAAAAAGTTTTGAAAATGTTCCCGCACTAGTTTTTCAAAAACTCATCAAAATATGAGATGGTGCAATTGCAATAATTTAAATTTTGGAAACTGATTTTTCTGGAATTTCTCATGTTGCCATTTTCCTTTGGATTGATTTGAAATTTCTCTATGGTGAGATACTGGCCTTCCTCTTTTCATCAAAAAAGTTTTAAAAATGTTCCCTCACTAGTTTCTCGAAAACTCATCAAAATGTGAGATGGTGCATTTGCACTAATTTAAATTTTGGAAACTGATTTTTCTGGAATTTCTCATGTTGCCATTTTCCTTTGGATTGATTTGAAATTTCTCTATGGTGAAATACTGGCCTTCCTCTTCTCATCAAAAATGTTTTAAAAATGTTCCCTCAATAGTTTCTCCAAAACTCATCAAAATATGAGATGACATATTTTCAATAGTTTAGATTTTGGAAGCTGATTTTCTGAAGTTTCTCATGTTGCCATTTTTCTTTGGATCAAATCCAAATTTCTGTATGATGAGATTTTGATCTTTCTCTTCTCATCGAAAAAGTTTTGAAAATGTTCCCGCACTAGTTTCTCGAAAACTCATCAAAATGTGAGATGGTGCATTTGCACTAATTTAAATTTTGGAAACTGATTTTTCTGGAATTTCTCATGTTGCCATTTTCCTTTGGATTGATTTGAAATTTCTCTATGGTGAAATACTGGCCTTCCTCTTCTCATCAAAAATGTTTTAAAAATGTTCCCTCAATAGTTTCTCCAAAACTCATCAAAATATGAGATGACATATTTTCAATAGTTTAGATTTTGGAAGCTGATTTTCTGAAGTTTCTCATGTTGCCATTTTTCTTTGGATCAAATCCAAATTTCTGTATGATGAGATTTTGATCTTTCTCTTCTCATCGAAAAAGTTTTGAAAATGTTCCCGCACTAGTTTTTCAAAAACTCATCAAAATATGAGATGGTGCAATTGCAATAATTTAAATTTTGGAAACTGATTTTTCTGGAATTTCTCATGTTGCCATTTTCCTTTGGATTGATTTGAAATTTCTCTATGGTGAGATACTGGCCTTCCTCTTTTCATCAAAAAAGTTTTAAAAATGTTCCCTCACTAGTTTCTCGAAAACTCATCAAAATGTGAGATGGTGCATTTGCACTAATTTAAATTTTGGAAACTGATTTTTCTGGAATTTCTCATGTTGCCATTTTCCTTTGGATTGATTTGAAATTTCTCTATGGTGAAATACTGGCCTTCCTCTTCTCATCAAAAAAGTTTTAAAAATGTTCCCTCAATAGTTTCTCCAAAACTCATCAAAATATGAGATGACGTATTTTCAATAGTTTAGATTTTGGAAGCTGATTTTCTGAAGTTTCTCATGTTGCCATTTTTCTTTGGATCAAATCCAAATTTCGGTATGATGAGATTCTGATCTTTCTCTTCTCATCCAAAAAGTTTTGAAAATGTTCCCGCACTAGTTTTTCAAAAACTCATCAAAATATGAGATGGTGCAATTGCAATAATTTAAATTTTGGAAATTGATTTTTCTGGAATTTCTCATGTTGCCATTTTCCTTTAGATTGATTTGAAATTTCTCTATGGTGAGATACTGGCCTTCCTCTTTTCATCAAAAAAGTTTTAAAAATGTTCCCTCACTAGTTTCTCGAAAACTCATCAAAATGTGAGATGGTGCATTTTCAATGATTTAGATTTTGGAAGCTGATTTTCTGAAGTTTCTCATGTTACCATTTTTCTTTGGATCGAATCCAAATTTGTATATGATGAGATTCTGACCTTTCTCTTCCCATCAAAAAAGTTTTGAAAATGTTCCCTCACTAGTTTCTCGAAAACTCATCAAAATGTGAGATGGTGCATTTACAATAATTTAAATTTTGGAAGCTGATTTTCTGGAATTTCTCATGTTGCCATTTTCCATTGGATCGATTTCATATTTCTATATGATGAGATTCTGAGCTTCCGATTTTCATCCAAAAAGTTTTGAAAATGTTCCCTCACTAGTTTCTCGAAAACTCATCAAAATGTGAGATGGTGCATTTTCAATGATTTAGATTTTGGAAGCTGATTTTTCTGAAATTTCTCATGTTGCCATTTTCCTTCGGATCGATTTTAAATTTCTATATGTTGAGATTCTGACTTTCCTTTTCTCATCAAAAAAGTTTTAAAAATGTTCCATCACAAATTTCTCGAAAACTCATCAAAATGTGAGATGGTCCATTTTCAATAATTTAGATTTTGGAAGCTGAATTTCTCATGTTGCCATTTTCCTTCGGATCGATTTCAAATTTCTATATGATGAGATTCTGACCTCCCTCTTCTCATCAAAAAAGTTTTAAAAATGTTTCCTCATTGGTTTCTTCAAAACTCATTAAAATGTGAGATGGTGCATTTTCAAGAATTTAGATTTTGGAAGCTGATTTTCTGGAATTTCTCATGTTGCCATTTTCCTTTGGATCTATTTCAAATTTCTATATGTTGAGATTCTGATCCTTATCTTCTCATCGGAAAAGTTTAAAGAATGTTTCCTCACTGGCTTTTGAAACCTCATCAAAATGTGAGATGGTCCATTTTCAATAATTTAGATTTTGGAAGCTGATTTTCTGGAATTTCTCATGTTACCATTTTTCAGATTCTGACCTTCCTCTTCTCATCAAAAAAGTTTTAAAAATATTCCATCATAAGTTCTATGCATAATACATTTAAAATTTTAATTTGAATCAATACCTAAACCATAACAATGATAACCCGCTAATTAAGATTTTGGAAATTGATTTTTTGGAATTTCTCATGTAGCCATTTAGAAATCTTTTCCTCACTAGTTTTTGAAAAAAAAAACATCACATCGAGGGAGGTTGCCAATGATGAGGTTGTCATTTCTCAATTGAGTTTTCAAAAGTTGAATTTCTACTGAATCTGAATTTGAAATTTTAGAAAAATGAGCAGCTATTTTTTCTCTTCTCATCATCCCAAAAGTTTCAACATTATTATCTTCATTAGTTTCTCGAAAATTCATTTTTCGTGCGTGAGATGCTTTTTACAACACTCAATGTGTAAGTGTAATGTACTATTACAGCTGAATCAGTAATAGTTTCTCATTCTTTGGCCTCTCAAATAGATGAATCATTCTTATGAAATACAATTTTTGAGCCCAATAAATAGCTTCCAATTTGAACTTATTTTGATATCTTCAAGAATCAATATTCTTCTCTTTGTTTCTATTTTAATCTTGAAAAAAACAAGGAAATTGAATTTTTCAAACATATAATCTAATCAAAATGTACGTTGTTTTCAAATAAGGCTTTGTTATAATATAATCCACAAAATAATACAGTAAAATTTAATCAGAGCTTCACTTGTAACTTCAAAACTCGACTATTTTTGTCAAATAAAATTCCTTTTGCGACATTTTTCATTTAAAATAGTAAAATCCACACAAAACGATTTTTAATATACCGTTTCTATTGTTGTCACAAACTCAAAGAAAAATAATTCTTGTTTCAGATCGAAAGAAATGGCAACGAGGACAGGGACATTGACTGTAGCGAGAATATTCAGCAATCGATTAAGTACACAAACTATCCTTTGGATAGATTGATGCCCAACACTTTATACAAAGTGGAACTGAGAGCTCACAATGCAATAGGTGACAGTACGCCTGCTACGATACGTTTCAGGACTGCCAGAGGTGAGCAGTACTTTAACTACCACACGGACTTGTTGGTAGAAAGTGGAAGCAGTGTGACGTGTGGCCAAATTTTTTGGGTTTTGTTTTTTGTTTCTAGCTTGTTTTTAGTTTAGTTTTTGCTTGTTTATTTCGTTATTTTGCATTTTGTTTAGTTTTTTTTTTTCACGAATCATTTGTGTGTGTGTGATTGTGGCAAAAAGGTAGTTTGTGTTAATGATGGTATTTTTTTAATGATTATTCTTTAGAAGGGAGACCTTGGACGAATTCATCCACGAGATCGTATTCGATAATAAAGACACTGACAGTATTTGCTTTATTGTGTAACATGCGGAATTATTATTAATGATAATAAATAGATTATGTAAAAAATTAATTTGTACATAAAAAACAAAATTAATTATTGTATTCTGGAATATTTTATTGGGTCATTCAAGGGAATTTTTTTCATACATATCAGAATAATTTATGTCAAAAAATATAATAATGTGGATCGTGACTTAATGATGGGATTGGTAAATCACAGATTGGATAATTATATACAGGGTGTTACAAATTTACGAGTATGTATGAGGATCTCCATGGAAAAATAAGATTGGTAAAAAAAATAATTTCTGTTAAATCCTATTATTTTGAGGATTAGAGTGGATTTGATATCCATATTGAGATTCAAATTTGTCTCATTTTCATTAATAAAAATTCTTCCCTCTTTAATTGGGCAATTTTTGACAGATGTCCATATCAAATTTGATAGATCGACGTCTAATGAGATTGTAAAAAAATTAATTTCTATCAAATCCTATTATTTTGAGGATTAAAGTCGATTTAATGCCCATTGAGATTCACATTTGTGTCATTTTTATTAAAAAAAATCTTCCCTCTTAGATTGGGCAATTTTTGGCAGATGTCAATGTCAAATTTGATAGATCGACGTCCAAAGAGTTTGTAAAAAAATTAATTTCTGTCAAATCCTATTATTTTGAGAATTGGAGTCAATTTATTGTCCATTGAGATCAATTTTGTTTCGTTTTTATAAATAAAACTTCTGCCCTTCCAAATTGGGCAATTTTTGACAGATATCAATGTCAAATTGTCAAAATTGATAGATCGACGTCCAATGAGTTTGTAAAAAAATTAATTTCTGTCAAATCCTATTATTTTGAGGATTAGAGACGATTTAATTTCCATTGAGATTCAAATTTGTCTCGTTTTCAATAATAAAAATTCTTCCCTTCCAAATTGAGCAATTTTTGACAGATGTCAATGTCAAATTTGATAGAACGACGTCCATTGAGCTTGTTAAGAAATTAACTTTTGTCAAATCCCATTATTTTGAGGATTAGAGGCGATTCAATCTTTATTGAGCTACAAATTTGTATTATTTTTAATAATAAAAATTTGTCCCTCTCAACTTGAGCAAATTTTGACAGATGTCAATGTAAAATTTGATAGATCGATGTCCGATGAGTTTGTAAAAAAATTAACTTCTGTCAAATCCTCTTATTTTGAGGATTAGAGACGATTTGATGTTTATTGAGATTCAAATTTGTGTCATTTTCATTGATAAATATTCGTCCCTCCTAAATTGGGCATTTTTTTTGACAGATATCAATGTCAAATTTGATAGATTGACGTCCAATGAGTTTGTAAAAAAATTAATTTCTGTCAAATCCTGTTATTTTGAGGATCAGAGACGATTCAACGTCCATTGAGCTTCCAATTTGTGTTATTTTTATTAATAAAAATTTGTCCCTCTCAACTTGAGCAATTTTTGATAGATGTCAATGTCAAATTTGATAGATCGACGTCCAAAGAGTTTGTAAAAAAATTAATTTCTGTCAAATCCTGTTATCTTGAGGATCAGAGACGATTCAACGTACATTGAGCTTCCAATTTGTGTTATTTTTATTAATAAAAATTTGTCCCTCTCAACTTGAGCAATTTTTGACAGATGTCAATGTCAAATTTGATAGATCGACGTCCAAAGAGTTTGTAAAAAAATTAATTTCTGTCAAATCCTGTTATCTTGAGGATCAGAGACGATTCAACGTACATTGAGCTTCCAATTTGTGTTATTTTTATTAATAAAAATTTGTCCCTCTCAACTTGAGCAATTTTTGACAGATGTCAATGTCAAATTTGATAGATCGACGTACAATGAGTTTGTAAAAAAATTAATTTCTGTCAAATCCTATTATTTTGAGGATTATAGACCATTCAACGTCCATTGAGCTTCCAATTTGTGTTATTTTTATTAATAAAAATTTATCCCTCTCAACTTGAGCAATTTTTGACAAATGTCAATGTCAAATTTGATAGATCGACGTCCAATGAGTTTGTAAAAAAATTAAATTCTGTCCAATCCTCTTATTTTAAGGATTAGAGACGATTCAACATCCATTGAGATTCCAATTTGTGTTATTTTTATTAATAAAAATTTGTCCCTCTCAACTTGAGCAATTTTTGACAGATGTCAATGTCAAATTTGATAGATCGGCGTCCAATGATTTTGTAAAAAAAAACTAATTTCTGTCAAATCCTATTATTTTCAGGATTAGAGACAATTTAATGTTTATTGAGATTCAAATTTGTGTAATTTTCATTGATAAAATTCGTCCTTCTTAAATTGGGCAATTTTTGACAGATGTCAATGTCAAATTTGATAGATCGATGTCCAATGAATTTGTAAAAAAATCAATTTCTGTGAAATTTGAGCTTCAAATTCATGTAATTTTCATTGATTCTCTATAAATCTGTGCTAAATTGAGTTTGATAGCTCAAATACTTTTCAGGAACGAATTTGTAACACCCTGTATATAAATGGAGTGACTTTACAGCCCCTGGGAGCTGATTGTAGCCATTAGAAGTACAATAACATTTCTTTATGCACCTTGAATTTCTCAATAAAACCCATAGATTACATTCGAAATAATAATATATTATAAAAATAAAAAAAATAAATGTGATGTTTATACTATAAGGTGATTTATCAGTGTAAGTAAGACTTAGTCGACCAACCTCTAAAACCAATTCGCTGCCGAAACGAATTTTTAAAGAAAACCTAATTTGCATTTATATGAAGCAACTTCGAGTTTACTTGGAAAACATTGCGGTAGGAAAGCGAGCAAACAAAAACCACCGTTTTCGGCAGAGAATCTTCTACAAAAGCATTCAATTAGGAAAGCTCCGCTAATTTAATAATGCATGTTTCACAAGGAGCCAAAACAGCAGCTGTCGCGTGTGCATGACTTAATTTTCGGCCTTAATATTGAATCCGTTTTTATTGAGCTTTAGATTTTTTTGTTTAGGTACCTACTAACCATAGCTTGACATTATTGAAATCAAGTCCCTTGTCACAAATCAGTGTTTTTTTTTTTTTAATTGTGATTGGAAACAAATTGTTTTAGTGAGTTTCTGAACATCCCCACATTCTACTTCTGAGCACAAATCAAAGTGAAATTCAACTCAGAAGTTCTCAATGACAAATTTATATAGCATCAAGTATTTTTAGAAATAGACACACATGCATTTTTGTTTTTAGTCACAATATCAAAAGAAAAATTTCTGAATGAAAAATGTGTGAATGTCATATAATAATTGTGAGAACCGGTGGCGGCTCGTCAGAGGAGGCAGAGGAGGCTAAGCCTCCCCCAAAAAATTGAAAATTCAACCTCAGTTTTTTATTCCTGATTCCCAATTAAAATAATAATTCACAAATTACACTTTCCAAATTTCGATACCTATTTCAATGTAATTTGGAAAAATCTGACAACATTATTTCAATCAATCCCGCGCCTCCACGACAAAAATCTGTGAATCTGGGATACTCAGTAATACGAGCCCAAAGGGCCGGAGTCATACGCGAGCTTAAAGGGCCGGAGTAACACGTGCCCGAAGGGCTGGAATTATACGCGAGCTTAAAAGACCGGAGTAATACGAGCCCGAAGGGCCAGAGTTATATGCGAGCCCGAAGGGCTAGAGTTATTTTAATCACGGGGCCCAGTCTATAATTCTATTGGTCTATATCTCTTTTGAAAGAGGATGAAATTACCTACAAAATGTTTTTTTATTGAGATGTCCCTCCCAATACCGAGGGTTGACATTTTACTCGGCGGGAAAGTTTGAAAATTAGTATTCCGGCAAATTCATTTCGCAATTAGTTAACTTCGCGTTAACCCTAAATGTTCTTTTTTTTCCTGGAGAATTGAATCTGTGTATGTTGGAAGCAATCTTGCAACGTTAAAACGGAAATGTTGTCAACTCTGTGTTGTTAAGATGGGAGAAACTTCCTGATTGTGTGTGTAATTAAGCATTTCAATTAGTTTATTTTTCACTATGAATCCTCTGAATCATTTCAGTGGGAAATCTGTTTCCGGAGTAGGGTGTTCATACAAGTTCTAGGGGTGAACCGCAAGGGAAATCTGGTGTGCAAGTAGGGAATATCACAAGGAAATCAGAGGAAATCAAGGAAATATTTAAAATATCATGGGAAATCTTAAGGAAATCAGTCAATCTCAAGATCTAACGCATGCGCAGTTTTCAAAAATATTTATAATTTCAGGTTATTTTATAAGGGGAACTCTCCTTGGTCACCCCCCATTAACCACAAGGGAAATCTGGTGTACAAGTTAGGGGAAATCAAGAGGAAACCTAAGGCAATCAGGGGAAAACAGGGGAAATCAAGGAATATCTTAAGGAATTCGAGGGAAATCTTGAGGAAATCAGTCAAACTTTAAATCCAGTGCATGCGCAATTTTCAAAAATCTTTATAATTTGAGGTTATGTTATTAGGGGAACTCTTGGTCAATCTTATTGGTAATCAGGAGAAATCTGCCTGGTGTACAAAACCTGACCTACGAGTTAACCCCTCAGAGGTAAACCGCAAAGGAAATCTGGTGTACAAACTAGGGGAAATCAAGAAGAAATTCACGGCAATCAGGGGAAATCAAGGAAATTCTTAAGAAATTCGGGGAAAACCTTAGGCAAATAGGGGTGAATCTTAA